TAGTTGACTATTTCCTGGCAGTATCATATAAATTAAGGTTATAAGCACTTTTTCTTACTAAATCGTTTTATTAACGACTAGTAGTAGAGGCCGGCGTTGCCCGGGGATGTAACAGTAAGAGATTAATCAAGTATCGACCATCATAAAGACTAAAAAATAAAATTGACAAAGATTATTGTTTAAGGTTGACGGACATGCATGTCTTAATTAGTTTTTTTGGTTTGTTTTTTACGAATTGGTCAAACCCAAACTCAAGCAAAACATTGTTTTCAATCGTTATGAGTCTACCGATTGAATAGAATTTTATTATAAACAATTGTCTGGTAAATGGAATTTTTTAAAGCATTCTGAATGTAAAAATAAAGAAAAACTGTGTAAAACAATAAGAAACACTACCTGCCAAAAAAAGGTGAAGTTTTGTTGAAATCGATTGAAACATGTAGGAAATCCGATCCCATATATAAACGAACACACACACACACGCAAACAACCTGGGTTTTATAATAAGTATAACTCGATATGAGTTGTCCCCCTTTCAGTCTGCCGACAGAATCGTGTTTTATCGTGTTTTCAAATTGATTTCGTGCAAAAACAATTGTGTTTTTCCAATTTTTGGCGCTGTCAGAACGACCGCAAGGTAATTTTACGTAGTCCTGTGAAGTTTTGTTGAAATCGGTTGAAAAATGTATGAAAACCAAGCCAATATATAAACGTACAGACACACACACACACACACACACACACACACAATCTGCGTTTTGTAATAAGATATTTGCATTTCGAATAATTATCATTTAATATAATTGTCCTTTCGATTAATTTTCATTCAAACAATTTATAATTCGAATTTTTTCGAATAATTGTTTTCGAACAATGTTTACATAATCATGTAATTGTCCCTGATCTGGCATCTCGTCTGCAGTCGCTCTCTCACAGACGTGCCGTTGCCTCCCTCTGTCTTTTTTACAAATACTTTCTCGGTTACTGCTCCGATGAGCTGCTTTCGCTGCTTCCCAGACTTCAAAAAATTTAAGCGTTCAACTAGGCTGGCATCTCGCTCTCACCTTTTCACTGTCAAAACTGTTAAACGTTGCCGTCTCTTCTACTCCAATAGCTTCATGTCTCGCACTTCTCACCTGTTGAACTCTCTCATCATTTCTTGTTTCCCTGATAGCTATAATCTCCAACTATTCAAATGTAATGTCAATCGACGCTTCCAGATGCCCTGATCTATTTTTGCAGCAAGTGTCATCCAATCATCCCACCATATGGAAATTCTTAGACGCTCTTAAAAGAGAACAAAACTTGCAAGAAATCCCTATTGCAAAACTAAGGGCATGCTTCTAAAATATCAAGAGCCCTAAGAAATACCAAATGGAAAACTTTTAAAAATTAGTGGCATTAGTACTCTTTATTAGTTGACTATTTCCTTGCAGTGTCATATAAATTAAGGTTATAAGGAATTTTTTTTTACTAAATCGTTTTATTAACGATATTTGCATTTCGAATAATTCCTCTTTTAATTTTTACATTTTTATTGCAATAAATAATTTTCGATTTCGAATAATTGTATTTTCGAATAATTTTCATTCAAACAATTTAGAATTCGTATAACTATTTTTCGAACAATTATTTTCGAACAAAGTCCGCATAACGAACATATCAGTGATTGCATAATGCAGGATGGAAAGCTGAATTTTTTTTTTTTTTTTTTGACTCCGAAGTAGATTCAGTGATGAATATACTGAAATAATTGACCATTTTTTATCAGGTTGCAGGATGTTAAAATACGACCAATATAAAACTGGGTAAATATATGTACTGAATAATTTGCAATTTTAATGTAAAGTAATTTGCAAAAACATTTGCACGAACACCGCCTAGAACTGGTTACGGACATAGGATTTTAGCAATTTAATGGTAATTGACTATACGCAGACAGAATAATTAAATCTAAACACTTAAACATAAAGATACCCAATTAAAGCTAAAAACTTACACAATAAGATACCCAATTAAAGCTAACCACTTAAACATAAAGATACCCAATTAAAGCTAACCACTTAAACATAAAGATACCCAATTAAAGCTAACCGCTTAAACATAAAGATACCTAATTAAAGCTAACCAGTTAAACATAAAGATACACAATTAAAGCTAACCACTTAAACATAAAGATACCCAATTAAAGCTAACCATTTAAACATAAAGATACCCAATTAAAGCTAACCACTTAAACATAAAGATACCTAATTAAAGCTAACCAGTTAAACATAAAGATACACAGTTAAAGCTAACCACTTAAACATAAAGATACCCAATTAAATCTAACCACTTAAACATAAAGATACCCAATTAAAGCTAACCACTTAAACATAAAGATACACAATTAAAGCTAACCACTTAAACATAAAGATACCCAATTAAAGCTAACCACTTGAATATAAAGATACCCAATTAAAGCTAACCACTTAAACATAAAGATACCCAATTTAAGCTAACCACTTAAACATAAAGATACCTAATTAAAGCTAACCACTTAAACATAAAGTTA